GGAAGTGTAAGCCGGTCCATTGTCAGTTTTAAGAATTTTGGGCTTTCCCCAGGCACTCCATGCCTCGAGGCAATGCTGAATAACATGGGCCGCCTTTTCTCCGGCTAATGGGGAAGCAAATATAATTCCAGAACAAGTATCAATGGAAACATGTAAATATTGCAATTTGCCAAAGGATGGGATGTGAGTAACATCCATCTGCCAAATCTGTAATGGGCGGATTCCTCTAGGGTTAATTCCAACATGAGGCACAGGTAAAAATTGACAGCAATTTTGACATTGAGTTACTATATCTCTAGCCTCTTTTCTAGTTATGTCAAACCGACGACGTAATGTCTCAGCTGTCACATGAAACCTTTTATGAAAGTCCTTAGCCAAGTCCAATTTTGGTGAAAGGGCAAGTGTAATTAACTTCGTGGCTCGATCTGCCAGGTCATTTCCATGGGACATGGGTCCCGGTAGGCCTGAGTGAGCCCTAATATGTGTAATAAAAACAGGGAATCTCCTATTAACCAAAGTAAACTGAATCTTTTGAAAGATTTTTGCAAGCTTGCTAGATGCTTTAATCAACCTGGCAGCCTCTAAAATTTTAGTTGCATTTACCACATAACAGGAATCCGAAACAATATTTAAGGGACCTGAAAAAATTTCCAGGACCTCTAGCACCACTAAACATTCCACAATTTGAGGTGAGGTTTCATGATATTGTTTAGATACAACTTTGTCATTAACCACATAGGCCCCCACTCCTGTTTTTGACCCATCCGTATAGACTACTGTTCCATCCAGAAGCGGTTCCTGGGATGTAATGCGCGGGAACACAACTGCTTGAGTCAAAGCAAATTGTAGGATGGGATGTTTGGGATAGTGGTTATCTATCGAACCGCCAAAGGAGGTGACCAGTACCGCCCAAATATCAGAGGTAGCAGTTAGTATCTGGACTTGATGGGCAGTATAAGGCACTATTAAAACCTTGGGTTCCTTTCCAAAATGGGTGGTGGCTGCTTTTAACCCACGAAGGGCAAGCTGAGCAACTGTATCTGGATACCATTCAATAATCTTTACAGGAGAAGCATTGGGATGAACCCATAACAAGGGCCCATCTTGCCACAGCACAGCAGTTGGTAAATGTTTAGTTTTAAAAACACACAAGTCAAAGGCTTTGGTTTCATCTATGCATTTTAGCTGGGCATCTTGTAAGGCATTTTCTACCACTTGTAGGGCTCGGCTTGCAGCCGGCGTTAAGGCTCTAGGCGAGGAAATATGAGCATCCCCTTCCAAAATATCAAACAAAGGTTTTAATTCAGCAGAGGGAATTTTTAGAAATGGTCTCAACCAATTTATATCACCCAATAATTTTTGAAAATCATTCAAAGTATGTAAATGGTCTCTGCGAATCTCTAATTTTTGAGGAACTATTTTTTCTGGGTAAATAACTGTCCCTAGAAAGGAATCTATTTCTGAAACTTGAACCTTCTCAGTAGCAATATGCAGGCCCCATTGTCCCAGGGTTTTTAGCAATAAAGGGTATGAAGTCTGTAAAATAGCTAATTCCTTATGGCACATCCATATAATGGATCAATAACAAGGAGGGAAATTGTTTCCTAACTGGTTCAAGGGCCATTTGTACATACAGCTGACACATGGTGGGGCTGTTGGCCATGCCTTGAGGTAAAACTTTCCACTGATATCTTTTGTCTGGTTCGAGGTGATTAACAGTAGGTAAGGTAAATGCAAATCTTTGCCTGTCTTGTGGGCATAAAGGAATGGAAAAAAAACAATCCTTAATATCTATAATTATAATCCTCCATTGTTTAGGTAAAGCAGAGAGCAAAGGTAGGCCTCGTTGCACGGAGCCAAATAGCCACATCTGTGCATTAATGGTCCTCAGATCATGGAGAAGTCTCCATTTTCCTGATTTCTTTTTTATAACAAAAATAGGTGTATTCCAGGGAGAGGTGGAGGGCTCCAAATGACCAAGCTGTACTTGTTCTTTAATCAGCCTTGTAGCAGCTTCTAACTTTTCAGAGGAAAGGGGCCATTGAGGAACCCATATGGCCTCCTCCATAAGCCCGGGTATGGGCATGGAACCCTCGATGGCAACTAGGGAAAACCCAAACCTTGTTTTCCTGTATTACTTTCTTGTGAGATTGGGCTTAATCTTCCTTGTTCTTTTTTGCCAAGGCCTTTTCCTTCCTTATATCCCATCCTTTTCAAAATATCAATAGCTTGTTGAGAGTACTCATTAGTTAATGCTAATCCTGAATCTTGTAAGATGTCTCTTCCCCAGAGATTAACGGGGAGAGGAAGTACATAAGGTATAAAGCTTCCCATTTGACCTTCTGGTGCCTGCCAAGTCAATGAGCATGAACTGACTGCGGGGCTGGCCTCATATCCCAACCCTTGTAAGGAGTGAGACGATTGTGTAACAGGCCATGCCTTAGGCCACCAGTTGGAGGAAATAATGCTTTTATCAGCTCCCGTGTCCAAAATGCTGATAAAGTTCTTCCCCTCTATCTGTAATTGTAAGGTGGGTCTAGTTTTAAGATCAACTACCAAGTGAGCGAAGTCAGTTCCTGAAAAACCAAGCCCTTTGGCGCCTCTTGACACTCCGGTAGATGGAAAACAGTCATGGAAGGAGAACTAATTGAGCAATCCTATCCCCAGGAGAAATAGAAAATATGCCTTGTGGACAAGAGCAGAGAACCTGAAGTTTCCCGGTATAGTCTTGGTCTATTATACCAGGATGAACCATAAGCCCCTTCAAGGTAAGAGAGGAGCGACCTAGAATAAGGCCGACACTTCCCTCAGGCAGGGGGCCTTTAAAATCAACTGGGACAGGTTGCACGCCCACATGTGGCATTAGTAAGAATTGGGAGGTGGAACAGAGGTCCAATCCTGCGGAGCCTCTTGTAGCTCTGCGGCTAGAGGTGTCCTCCTGTTGCCTACTTGTGTCCCATATCTTTTGGGGCCCTGAGACCTGAGGCCCTGAAACCCGATTTTTGGAATACTTTCATCCCTTTCCTCTGAAAGGGTCTCATGTTGAATAAGCTTTCCCTGAATATCTCTAACTGAGTGACACTCATTGGCCCAGTGATAACCCTTCCTACACTTGGTACAGAGCCCTGGAGTTTTCTTTTGTGCAGGAGCACGGCATTCTTGTTTTAAATGACCCGGTTTGCCACAGTTATAACAAACTTTATGGCCGCCAGGACTTGGGCGGTTTTTGCTTTGTAAGATAGCTGCTGCAAGGCCAGCATTAGTAAGCGGGCCTCCAAGTCCTTGGCAAATCTTTATCCAGTCTGTCAGCCCTTTACTTCTTCTAGGGGTAATGACTGCCTTACATTCTGGTGAGGCATTTTCATACACCAGTTGTTCTATCATTGGTTTAACTCATTCCGGGTCTCCAAATATCCTGCCTGCTGCTTCTGTCATCCTAGCCACAAAGTCTGAGAATGATTCCTGGGGGCCTTGTATTATTTTTGTTAGATGTCCCCCGGCCTTGCCCTTTTTTGAGAGGGCTTTCCATGCTTTAATAGCGGCAGCGGAGATCTGGCCATATGCTCCCCAATCGTAGTTTGTCTGATTATTGACAAACTGTCCTTGCCCTGTAAACAAATCAAAAGTCCACTGCCGTTGATTATCTTCTGCATTGGCGTTGGCCCTTGCCTGTATTTGAGAAGCATCATGCCATAAGGCTTTCCATTCCATGTATTGTCCCATATTAGGAAGAGCAGCTTTTACTGTATTTTGCCAATCATTCAGAGTCATCGCCATATTGGCGAGTCTCTCAAGCTGCATGACTGTAAAATTAGCATCTACTCCATATTTATTAACTGATTCAGCAAGTTCCTTAATAAGGGGATATTCTACCAGTGCATGGACGCAGCCTCCATCCGCAGCCTCAAACACCGGGAAGGCTTGTAAGAACTTTCTTTTGTCTCCCTTTGAAAGGAAGGAATCTGAACAGTACTTGTCTGCATAAGGCGGAGGAGCACTGGGGATGACAGGGGCGGCAGGCTGAGAAGCCGCGAGGTTCCTATCTCCCGTCTTCTTTTGCTTTCGATTTTGCGGTAGCGGCCACTCATCAGGATAGTATCTCTCTTCCTCGTAGCGAGCCGCTTCCTCATCTAAATCTTCTTCCTCAGAGGGGCTTAGTTCCTCCATTCAGAGCTATCAATTCCTAAAGCCTCCAGTTCTTTTATCGGATAAAGAGGCTTCTTTTTCGGGGCCTTTTCTCCCCCCTCATGCTTCTCTCCCAGGGCGTCCTTTCCCTTCTCTTTCACTTCTGTGGACCAAGCATCCACAGAAGGGGCTTTTTTCTTAGGCATGCCTTTTCTTTTTTCTTTATGAGCTCCTAACCTTTTATCCCGCTCTGTTTCTGACATGCTGTCTTGCAGCTTCTCTAACACTCCCTGGCCTGCTGCTACAGTTGAGCGGCATTTCTCGTCCTGCAGGCATGACCTCACTAGCTTCCACAATGGTCTGGTTCCAGGCTTTAATTTCCCATCTTGTTGTTCTCTCAGCAAGTCACCCTCCAACTTGTCCGAGGAGGCGAGTGTCAGCGACCCCGAGCACACATACCAGGGACCTACGCGATTGATCTCCTTCACAAGCCCCTCCAACGTTTTTGTAGAAACCTTTAACTCATGCTGCCTCAAGAGCGACTGAAGCGCCGTGATCACCGAATGTGAAGCTCCCATGTTGCTCTCTTATCTATGAGAGAAGCTGACACACAGAGAGGGGCACCGCGGCTTATCTACGTCCATCTGACCATGCCCAACGGCGGTGAGCCTTTTAGCAAGAATATTTGTGGAAGCAAAATAAAACCAAAAGAAAGAGAACGAGCGCTACTATCACAATAGGGAAAGCTACAAGAGCTCCTGCCAATTGGGGAGAAAGATGAGACAAATCAAGACCAAACATGCCTCTCAGAACTTACCTTAGTCCTGCAGTTCTGAATCCTCCCCGTGAATGGGGGGGTCTCCTCGGCGCTGGCGATGGTGGGCTTCCCGGGTTTCGGCACCAACTGTGACCCGCACAATCGTCTCGCCAGCAAGAATGCACGCAGACACCAGGATCCTTCTGCAGCAAACGTTTATTGCGATGGAAAGAGGAAGACCCCAAGCCCCAAAAGGCAAGGCTTATATATGCCTCAGAGCGGTGTGTCTCTCTCTGATTGGTTGCTGGCTCATCCCCTCAAATGACGCCCCAGGCTGGGCCGTGACTAGGTGCACACTCGCTTTTGGCACATGTGCATATCACTTGTTTACCAGGAGCAGAGGCGGATGTCAGCGCCATCTTGTAATGGCGGCTATACTTTTCGGCTCTCTACACCTCATGTATCCTTATTGGCTTCTCCTTTAACTTGGGGAAATTTTCTTCAATGATTTTGTTGAAAATATTTTCTGGGCCTTGGAGAAGAGAGTCTTCTTTTTCCTCTATTCCTATTATTCTTAGGTTTTGTCTTTTCATATTGTCTTGGATTTCTTGGACGGTCTGTGTCAGGAATTTTTTGGATTTAACATTTTCTTTGACAGATACATCGATTTCTTCCATTGTATCTTCTACACCTGAGATTGTTTCTTCCATTTCTTGTATTCTGTTGGTTATGCTTACCTCTGTAGTTCCTGTTTTCTTCCCTACATTCTTCCTCTCCATTATTTCCTCCATTTGTGTTTTCTTTAATTTTTCTAGTTCTATCTTCAGGTCTTGAGTTGTTTTGTTTACTTCCTTCACCTGTCTGCTTGTATTTTCCTCTTTTTCTTTTATTTCCTTCAACTCTGTCTCTTTTATTTCTTTCAGTGATTTAATTATTTCTTCTTTGAATGCCACAAGCTGTTTGGCTGCATCTTCCCGTATTTCTTCATGGATGGCCATAATCTGCTTGTCTTTATCTTCTTCCATTTCTTTACGGATAACCATGATCTGTTTGGTTTTATCTTCCTCTAATTCTTTACGTATTTTATTTGTTTCCTCTATTATCCTCTTCATCAACATAGATGTAAGGTCATCTTCTTGATTTTCTATTATGCTGCATTGTTCAGGGCTGTTCGCCCCTGGATGGCTGGGTTCTGGAGATGTCATATTGCTCTGTCTTTTGTTGGTTGAGCTTTTACGCTGACCTCTACCCATTGGGCTGATTTAGGTGTTGGCTGTTAGTTTCTGTGCTTCCTGGAGTCCTGAGGTAGGGAGTATCCCCTTGGCCGGCAGATGATTTTTCCTGAAGGAGTCCTTCTCTGCTTTTTGTTTATGGTCACTGTATGGCCAGTGTTTCTCAGGAGTTGCCACTGCTCACCTCAGGTTTATAGCCCTGAGTAGTAGCTGTGGTCTATGTTAGGCGGGGGGGGGGTCTCCTCTTACCCATAGAAGTTCTCAAGACAGCTGCTCCACTGCTGGGTTTCTTGTTATAAATTTATTGTGCTGCTGCTCACTAAATTTCCATGTACAGTCCTCTTGAAGAACTTGCTGATTCCCTATCTGTGGGGTTTTCTCCCAACAGGGAAGCTCAGTCTGTTATCCTTGGGCGCACAGTTCTGTCCGGGAAAGTGGGAGGTGCACTCAGCAAGTCTCTGGGCCAGAGGCTGAATGTTTCACTCTGGACCTGGAGAATGTGCACCTAAGTTGAGTTGGCACCTGGGGGCACTGGTCTGGTCTGGAGGCTGGGTGCCTCACTCTGGACCAGAAGCTGTGTGTCCCTGTCTGGGATGGCGGCTGCAGGCACTGCTCTGGTCCAGACGCTGTGGGTACAGCCCTCTTGAAGGACCAGGGATTCCCACAGTTTTGACAGTCTAGCTAGGGATAACTGGTTGATCCTTGGCACAGTATCTGAGGGCTGCTGTAATGGCTCTCTGGCTTTTGTAGGTCTGAGGATGCAGCTGTGTGTCCCAGTGCCCTAGGGGAACTCAATAACGGCAGCTGAGCACAGTGCTCCTGCCTGCTTTAGAGCCTAGAGTCTGCGTGAATCCAGGAAGTCTTTTGGTGCTGGGTGTCCTAAGCGTTAGAGCTGATGATCCCCTCTGCTGGGGGTTTCCTCCTGCCAGAGACACCCAGTCTTTGCTTTGTGGACCGCTGTTCTGTCTGGGGTGGCGAGTAGAACCCACAGGCACAGATGCCCACTTGTGGCTCTGCCTTTCTGGCCGTTCGGAGCCTTGGCTGCTGCCTAAACTGGGTAATTTTCCAGAGACCTTTTTGAGGTGGGGTTGTCGGCTGAGTGCTCTGAGATCAGACCAGCTGTTTCCCTCCCTGTGGGTTTGCACCTGCCAGTGAAACGCAGTCTCTGGTGGCCTGGTACCCTGGTGCCCACAGTTCTACCTGAGGCGGCGAATCAGGTGCGCAGGCAGGGTTCCATGCAGGTGCCTGGGTCCCGGTTCTGGGTCCGGGCTGGCTCTTGGGATGCCCGCGGAACCCGAGTCTTTTCCAGGGGATGTCTGGGTAACCTGAGGTCGGTCCCAATCATTTCTTGCTCCATGGGGTTATCTCTCGACTGGGAAATACGGTCTATGGTTTTGTGGGCCCACAGTTCAGTCTGGGACCGTGACCAGATCACGCTGGCGTGTAGCTCTGGGCTGGCGACCAAGTGTCTGTCGGAACCGGGATCTCTTCCTCAGTTTAGCTGGGTGAGTTAAAGTTGATTGAATCCCCCACCGTGGGGTATCCTCTCACCTGGGAAACACAATCACTTGTGTTTTATGGCCTTGAGTTCTGATTGCTGGTCACTGTGCCAATTCTGCTGTGCCGCTCCTCAGAATGAGAGTCCTCCCGGCGCCGCCATCTTGCCCCGCCTCCCCATAATCCTACTCTTATAAACATTTATAAGAATATAAGAACCATACTTTTGTATTTCATTGTGTAAATAAAATATGCTAGGGGGGAGTTTCCTGAAGCACCATGGAAGAAGTCACGAGAGTCTGTCTAATACAAGTCTTATCAAAAAGATTGACCTGCTAATTAAGAAATTCCCATATATTCTAGGAGTCTAACAATCTGGCTAGTGGCATTTTTCTATCACATGAAGCAGGCACTTACCGAATCCACTTAGGTGATAACATGAGAGCCTCATTTGTCAGAGTGGGAATTTCAAGAAATAAACCAAGGAGCTTTAACTTCCTTAAAATACACCTCTGGCAATTGTGTAGCTCATGACACCTTTTATATTTCATACACTTCTCTAATCATCAAATAGTTTGTATTGGAAATAAGTGAAATTCTCTTAATTAAGCTTTTAGCATCTGTGGATACAATTCTGTGAGTGAAGTGAAAATACATTTTTTTTTCTGACACTTTCCTTTCCATTAGAGTAAAATATCTTACTGCATAAAATGTCATTTGATGATTATCCAGAAAACAATTCTATAATTGACACACACTAGCTGAATCTGAAAACGCCTATCCTGAATTGGTGCATCTGTGTTAAGTTGTAGAAAAAAGGTGGACTGACGTGCCCTGCATGGGAAGACAATACAGAACACAGAATATCTAGGATTTTAAATGAACATCTCATGCAAAATCTCACAGCACACATATTGCCACTGCTCTGGGCTGCTCGCTCTAACTAGACACTAAAAACTGATTTCTGAAGATAACTCCTCACGTTGACTGTAGAAGATGAATGAGTTGTGAACGGACCTAGTAACTTTCCCTACGGTCTAACTTTCATAGTGCCAGAGAGTGAAAAGCGTCAGTGGTGTAATCTACTGCTGGCTCCTACGTGCTATGACCTGCTTGCAATGAAACAGTGGTATGATGGCTATGGAAGCAGCCAACCACTCATTGTGATTAGTTATGAGGTCTTCTCCCCAGAATTCCTCCTTTCATGACTTGTAAGCCCGCTGCTGTTTTTCTCCGAAACTACATTCTTTTTTGTAAATACTATAATATTTTTTATGTCATTTCATGTTTGTAGCTTATAAAAATACATAAAATATAGGCTTCCCATTTTTGCAGATATTTTTAAAGATTATTTTATTTTTATTAATTAGAGTTTATTCACTTTGTATCCCAGCTGTAGCCCCCTCCCTCATCCTGTCAAAATCCCCCCTCCCTCCCTCTTCTCCTCCTTTGTCCCTCCACCAGTCCACTGATACGGGAGGTCCTGCTCCCCTTCCATCTGATTCTAGTCTATCAGGTCTCATCAGGACTGATGCATTGTCTTCCTCTGTGTCCTGGTAAGGCTGTACCCCCCTGAGGGAAAGATGATCAAAGAGCAGGCCAATCAGTTCATGTCAGAGACAGTCCTTGTTCACATTACTAGGGAACCCACTTGGACACTGAGCTGCCATGGGTTACATCTGTGCAGGGGTACTAGGTTATCTCCATGAATGGTCCTTGGTTGGATTATCAGCCTCAGAAAAGACCCCTGTTTCCAGATTTTTTTTTTTGGTTCAGTTGCTCTCCTTGTGCAGCTCCTGTCCTGTCCAGGTCTTCCTATCTCTCCCTTCCCTTCACAAGATTCCCTGCACTGTGTCTAAAGTTTGGCTATGAGTCTCAGCATACATTTTGATATCTTACTGGGTATAGTCTTTCAGAGGCAATCTGTGGTAGGCTACTGTCCTGTTTCCTGTTTTCTTCCTCTTCTGATGTCCATCCCCTTTGCCTTTCTGAATGAGGATTGAACATCTTACCCAGAGTCTTCCTTCTTGATCATTTATGTTTATTTCCATACATACATACATATATATATATATATATATATATATATATATATATATATATATAT